GACACGCTTTTCAAGTCGTCTCGCAGTTCTGCCGGCAGGTTCCGCAGGTCTTCGAACAGCGCCGTCGGCAGCGGCAGCCGCAGCCACGAGCCCGGCCGGTACAAAAACAGCGCGGCGCCGCGCGGTGCACTGCCTGCTGGCGCCGCTCCGCTCATTCGTCCGCTCGCTCGCTCCGCACCCTCGCGCGAAACGGCGGATCGATTAAATAAATACTGAGATTTAACGCTTTTTTGCCCGCCGCGCTACTTCTGTAGCGCCACGCGGTTGAATTTGAGCTGAAACCCGTTCAGCAACGGCTGCGTGTAGTCCTCGTACAGCTTCCGGAAGCTCACATATACTGCGTAGGAGATCACGCCCAGCAGCGACGCCAACAGTACCAGATACAGTTCGTCGTCTTCGTTGCTTTGCGAAGAGCTTGAGTCGCTGTAGCTACGGGAATTCTGAGAGCTGATCGGCAATAGCATCTGGAATTTAAGACATTTTAATTAAAGTTAATTAGACTCGTCCGAGCTCTCGACCGGCAAGCGCGGCGCTGCTTCGTGCGAGACGTGGTACAGCGTGTTGAACGTCTTGTCGAAGGCCACTAAGTGGCTGGGCAACGACTCCGCCCACGCTTCCAGCGAGCGGAACCCCAGCATCTCCGGCGAGAAATTCTGCACTTTCATCTTCTCGAAAATCGCGGGCAGTTCGTCGAGCTCCACACCGCGCTTGCTCTTCAGCAACACCTTCAACAAAATTTTCGTCACCACATCGCGACGCAGATCGTAGTTCGTTTCTTCCGCCGCGGGGGCGCGCGCTGCCGCCCCGCTCGCGGAGCCGCTCTTGTCTGAGTCTGACTCCGAGCCAGAGCTGTTGTCCACAACTTCGTCCGCAATCTCGCCTGCGCCGGCATCCGCGGCGCCGCGTCGCGCATCGCGCTGAAGAATCTGCGCCGTCAGCAGCTCGTTGACGTCTGCGAACTCCGTTTTTTTGCGGTTGCTCTTCCACAACTTCTTGCGCTTCTCCGCGAACGTGTCGACAGGCTTCGCTCCGCTCAGGTTCAGCGGCAGCAGCTCCGCCTGCAGCGTAGCGCGCTTTGTCTCGTTGGCCAGCTCCGTCTCCTCCGTAAGCACCACGGGCTCCGGCGCCTGCGCGTACAAGCGCGTCAACAGCTTCTCGCGGTTGCCTGCGCAGGACATCCCGTGCGCCTTGCACTGCAGCCGCAAATCCGCGACAGTCATGTTAACGTACTGCAGTTGCTCGCTCTCTTCCGCCGCCGCTGAGGCCGCAGGCACCTCGTTCGTCGCGGAATCCGGCGTCTGGTCGGTTGCCTTGACTTTGTGGTGCGACTCGATGCAGTGTTGCTTGTCGAACTGCGCGAGACTCGCGATGTGCGTCGCGGTGAGCTGCTCGATCTCGGCGCGCAGCGCAGCCTTCTTCGAATCCGGCAATTTCCCCTTGTTCAAGCTCTTTTCCAGTGCGCGCAGCTGAGATTTGTACGCGTTAATGAGCTTCGAACGCTCCACGTGCGCGCTCATGGCAATATCTTAGAAATTAGTGATAAATATGAACTGAGCTCCTCGGCGTTTATTCGCCGCAGATGCCAATTGCAATGGCAACCGTGCACCTTTTTTGCGATGAACGTCTCCAACAGATACGAAGCCTACCGAAAGCTTCCAGTCTTCACACGACTGTGCGACCCAGCGTTCTACACTGTAAGTTGCACGTCGTGCCAGCCAGAACACTTCGCGTTCTCGTTTTGACGAACTGGGCAACGGGCGCGGCCGCGCCGGCCGCGAAGACCTCGTTTTGTGCAACGGTTGGACGCCCAGCGACGACCGACCGACGGAAATCTATAGTTCTGCGTTGCGTAAACCGCGCAAGCCGGTGGTCGAGGCGGGCACGCTCGGCGTGCAACTCTTCGGCGTGCAAGCCGTCACTCCCAAGTTGATCTGGATCTACACAAATGGCAAAGCCGCAGACCGCGGCTGCTCAGTCTACGTGAAACACTGCTACAAAACGCTCGGCGCCTTCATCAAAAGCCTTCGCAGCAACGTCGAGCTCGTCACCGGCGCACCCCAAGCGCTGTACAACCAAGATCTGCAAAAAGTCTCGGAACTCAGCGAATTGCGCGACGGCGGCAAGTACCTCGCGACGGGCGGCGAACCGCCCGTGCCGAAAGCGAACTTGCGCGAGTTCCTCGGGCCCTACGTCTTTCTGCAGGCATAAGCGCGCCTCGCCGCGTGCTGAAAGTGTGTGCACGCACTTTTTTCCAGTTTTCCCTTGATTGCGACAGCCGTTGGGTGAGGCGAAAGTGCTGGATATAAGTTAGCCTTAGCTGGATGCGGCGCTATGATAGTCTTTAGCCGCTACTCCGTGGTAGAGGCCGACAGCTACCGCTTCGTGCTGATCGACTTGCCGGCTTCGCATAGAGTCGGCGACTACATTGACGTATTGAAGCGGTACAACGTAAAGACTGTAGTGCAGCTGAATGAGTCACCGAGCTACGGCGCGCGCTTCAGCCGCGAGGGCATCGCCACGCGCGACCTGCACTGTTTGATCGACAACGTGCCGACGAAGGAGTGCGTCCGCGAATTTTTGCAGATTGCGATGAACTCGCGTCGAAAGGGCGCTGCGGTGGCGTTGCAAACGGTATCCGGTCTAGGGCTGAACGCTGTGTTAGTGGCCGTGGCGCTAGTCGTGCTGCTGAACTATTCGCTTGACGAAGCGCTGCAGGCGCTGCGGCGCAGCAAGCGCGGCTTGCTGTGTGCTGCGCACATCAACTATCTGCGAGACTTCTCGCGCACGCGCGCAGCGGCTGCGGAGGCGCGCTCGCCGAGAACGTTGCGACCGGTGGCGCTGTTTAACCGCACGTTGCGCTCGAACTGGATCACGTCTTTTTGAGAAATTTCGTTTTTTGCGTAAGCTAATTTGTCGCGCCTAGGCTCGCGACCTTTGCTCTTTTGGGCGTACGTTGGCAACGCCATGCGACTCGCGTAGACTCGTGAATTGAGCAGACTTTGCACATGCTGCTGAACCCGTGGGGTTTGGAGAACGACGCTGTCGAGGCGCGGCGGCTGCGGGACGAAGCGAAGGCGTACTTCGCAGACCTCGACAAGGTCGTCGAGGACCTGCTGCCGCGCGTGGTCTCTGCGTTTCGCGAGTACTTGGCCGCGACTGACGAGGCGATTGCTGCGGCGCGGCAGATTGCTCAGAAAGAGGAGGCCGCCGGGCTGCACCACGCGGCGGCTGCGGGCGGCGCGGAAGCGCCTTATTCGGGGTACTTCGACGCGCAGCTCTTCGCGCAGCTCGCGCCGGAGTTTCCGCCGCGCGAGCTGCTGAAGGACCTTGGCAAGCTGGCTTGCGCGTATCCGCTGTCGCGCGAGCGGATTGCGGAGCTCTGCGACAAGCTCTTGCCGCCCACGGACGCGCGCAGCACGCGCGGGAACAAGGCGATCAAGAAATGGTTCGTCGAGGTGTACAGTCTCGATTCACTCGATTTGCGCGTGGCCGACGGCTTTGAGTGCAACGGCTGCGGCAAGAGCGTCAAGTTATACTCACTGCGCATGCGCTGTCTCGAGTGTGACGACTTCGACTTGTGCGAAGAGTGCTTGCGGCAGTGCCGCGCATACGACGACCACACGCCGGACCACTTGTACTTTTTGCACTACCCCTCGTGTGAGCCGCTGAAGGACATGGACTGGACGCTCGGCGAGCTGCAGGTGCTACTCGAGGCGGTCGGCAAGTACGGCTTCGGCAACTGGGGCGAAATCGCCGAGTGGGTCGCACAGGTCACGCCACTGGACCAGCCGGTGAAGTCGCGCGAGCAGTGCAAAGCGATGTACTTCCGCTTTGGCGAGCTGTGCAACGCCCGGACGGGTTTGCCGCTGACCAACTTGCTGTACTCGATGAGCGCAGCCGCGGTCGAAACGTGCGAGGCGGAGCGCAACAAGGCGACGCTCTCGGCGCCGCCGATCGACTACACGCCGCACATCAACGAGGAGGGCATCGACATCATCCGCTCTTCGACGTACCGGCTCGCGCAGCGCGCGGGCGCGCAGACGTGCCTCGCGGCGCCCGTTGTCGAGTTCGACTACAACGTGGACCCGGAGGAGTTCGAGCTGCCCGAGCCGCGCACGCCGGTGCTTCACGTCAACACGCAGCCGCCGCGCATGGCCGGCGAGCGCGTGCTCGTGTCGGGCTACATGCACCACCGCGGCGACTTGGAAGTCGAGTGGAAGAACAGCGCGGAGTTCAACATCTGCGACCTGTGCGTGCTGCCCACGGACACGCCGCTCGAGAAGCAGAACAAGCTGCTCGCGTGCGAGGCGTACAACTGCGTGCTCGACGAGCGCTGGCTGCGCAAAAAGATTTACATCGAGCGGCGGCTCTGGGAGGCGAAGCCGGGCAAGTCCGGGCTCGCGGAGCTCGAGGACATGATGAGCAACTTGAAGTTCCTCTGGCGCTACGTGCACGCGCGCTGCGTGCGGCAAGAGGTGCCGTTGTTCTACCACCCGCGCAAGGCGACGGCGCCGGCGCTCGCCGCCGCGGACCTCAGCGAGCAGGACTTGGACAAGGTGCCGGCGCTGTTTCTGAACGAGCGTACGTTGCAGGCGAAGCTGAACTTGCTGACCAGCTGGCACGAGG